CCCCCCCGCTGCCTGGCAGCGCGTTCACTCCACGCCCCCCCCCAGCCTGCAGGCTGGAAATCTGTCAGGGAGCGAGGGCAGGAGCTCCCGGAGGCGCCGGAGCTGCTCTGCCGAGGAGTCAGCACTGTCAGAGCATTCACAGCTCAACAGCGGTGCTAATAATCCCCGGCTGACAGCGGGGCCCTGCTCCCTTGCACGGCTGCGGGCGACCTGCCGCAGCCCTGGGCACCTCTGCAGCAGCTCACAGTAGACAAGACCAAGGGTGAAAAGCCAACAGATGAGCTCTGAGCACCTCAAGACAAGGAAAAGCCATGAGTTTGCATCTCCCCTGGAACACCTAAGGGCTTCCATTGCACCTGGGTGCCCGCTGACGGAGCCCCACGCCACCAGCACAGAGGAGGACATCACCCATCAGAGGCAAGGATGCCCCCGGTATCTGCCTGCTCCATCCATTCGGCAGACCCTGGCGCCTATCCCATGAGATTTACTGCCCCAAACCACCCCCAAAGCCCACAGTCTTACTGGTGGGACCAAATATTGAACCTCTCCCTCAGGGCAGCAGAGCTGGCTCCTGGCTACACCCTTCAAAGAGCCAAGGAAGCCGCAGGGAACCTTCCCCTCCCAACACACAGTGAGCAGCCTCACCCCTAAACCCAAACTCTCCCGGCCTCTGCCCAGCAAGGCAGGGCTGAAAGCGCGGTGGCCCTGGGATCTGCCCCCCACCAGGCCGCCCCGCTGCACCTCCCAGCTCTGCGGAGAGCATCCCACGGAGACCCAGCCCGTCCCAGTGCCGGTGTCTGGGGAGGGCTGGAGGCGGCTGTGCGGAGAGCGTGGGAGCTGGCTGGCTGACGGGATAAGACATGGATGAACAAAGCCAGCAATGCAGCACCTCAGCGATGGCGTGGATCAATCCACAGCCGCCGCCGTTTGCTCCTCCTTCCTCCTCACTTCTAGCACACCAGCCAGATTATTGAAGATGTGGGCTGGGATGAAGGACGCCCAAACGAGGGGGTCAGACAAGCGGCACGGACCCACAACAGGAAGCGCAATGAGGGCTGTGTCTGTGCAGAGCCCTGGGGTCTGGGGGGAGCCTCCCGGGCTGGTCGGGAGCTCCGCAACCCCCAGCACCAAGACTCAGGGACGGGGC